ATATGGCACCAGGCCTTCCTGTCCTTCACTGCCTCCCTGAGTTTGCTCAGTTTCATGCTCAAAATATTAATTAAAATACAATAAAACAACAGACCTACAAATAATAAATAAAAAAGTATAGTATTTTTTGCCTGAATTATCAATCAACCTGGGTTGTTGAAGCCAAAACACATATTAACTGTACAAATTCTGGATGTTCTTATTTTCTCACAAAATTTCTGTCTTTCCCATATGTTTGATTGATGTTTCAATCAAAAAGCACAAAACATCAACCTTTTTGTTAATTATAAATGCGCTGCTCCTAATATTTAATTTTTTTTTTAAATGTACTTAGACAAATTATAAGTTGAGCCTCCAGCAGGAAGTAAAACGATATATAAATAAGATATAGAAGGACCACTATATAAGCATTAGAAGTAAACATATTTTATTGTGCTTTTTGATTGAAACATTAAGCTTTCAAAAGCATGTTGTAGTCACATTTTCCATCAGTAGCTATTAGAAATATCTACATATTTAAAACTAGGTCAACTCCATAGTTATGTCATCAGCAGAAATAAACTGTTTAGACATCACTCTGCATTCAGCCTCAGAAAATCAAGGCAAATAGTTCTGAAATTCAACAATATAAGGGGGAGGGAGAGCTACACAGAATAAATACTTCCTGTACCAAGAATTTTAATAAAACATTTTTGGCAGATTATAATTTTAGCACAGGTTTGGTGTTATTTTGGAAATTCACACTTCCAAAAACATCTAGAAGTTTTTGTTCCAATCTTGGTTCACTGGCAAACTTTGATCATGTTTATTGAAGAGATGAGCATACAGCAGTACAAGAATAGATAAAGCAGATTTCAGAATAAAAATTTCCTGACAAAGCAGCAGAAAATTCTATTTTTTCCTTTCATTTGGGGAGCAGGAAAGAAGGAAGAAAGTGAATTTTGATGCATGTTAAATACAGGAGTACAAAAGATCATCCTAGAACAGAAATCCAAACATGGTAGGAGTTCAGCAGTACCATGTCCTAGTTCACATGCTCATCCTTCAGCTGTGAGTGAGTTACCATTTTCAAAATCACATACAAGAATAATTTAACATACTGTAAAAGCTCAAATTCATCCTTTGCAATCTTTATCCAGGTCTCCCAAGGATCAGTGAAAATAAAATAATAGTGCAGCACATTCAGAAAGTATGTTTAAGACTTCAAATGTTTACAGGGCACCCAGAATTTCTGCTTGCAAATCCTTGTTCTCCAGTCCTCCTTCCTCAAGCTGGTTCCCTCCAGATATAGCACAGGTAGCCTTCATTTGACAACCACTTGTTTAGTGACAGCTTGAAGTTACAACAGTGCTGAATGAGATTTACAACCAGTCCTCATAGCTGCAGCTGTCACAGCAACCCACAGTCATGTGATCATCATTTGAGACCTTCACTGCCAACTTCCAACAAGCAAAGTCAATGGGGAAGCTGACAGGTGGTCACAAATGGCGATTGTATGACATTGTGCCTAACATCTGTGGGGATTCACCTAACGACCACAACTGGTACTGATATTGACATCGCACTTTACAATCACGTATTGATGGCGCTGACGGTCCCAATTACCGTTAAGTGAGGACTACTTGTATAAAATATAACATCAATCATCAGGACCATGCTGGCTATAGCCCAAGATATATGAAAGGTACCAGGGTATGGAAAGCAAGATTTTTCAAGAGATTAAAAAGGGCAGGAGACAGCCCAAGAGATGGTGCTTATGGCCTATCATAAAAACAGCACTTCTTGTAATCCTAAAAACAAACAAGCAATTAACAAGTAAAAAAAAGTCATCAACCTTTAATGATTTCACACAGCCTGTCACTTGAGACAAGTCAAAATATCCTCCCCGTTACAACTACACTCTTAATTAAATTGACAGTGACTGTGAAATACAATCTCAGCAACTTATGACCAAAATTTCCAGCCTGCATGTAGTTGTACCACTGGCGTCTGCCACTTGATGCCCTCCAGCAGCACTGGACTACAAACTCATCATCCCCAGCTGACTCAGGCTGGCCATGGAGATGGATATTCTAAAACCAACCCTACCAAGTTTGGAAAGACTACTCTAACACCTTCACACTACTCAAGGATGGTCCTGAGGCTCTGTTTTCCCCATATCGTAGAAGACTCAATTCTGCATTCTGATAAGTGACAGAGGTGAAAGGAGTCGAAGGGGATATGTCATACTGCAGATTTCCCCAGTCTACCTGGAAATGGTGAGAGTTTCTCAACACAGAAGGTGGTCACGATGTTAGTGAAGATTATCCTACTGCTTTATCTTTTGCTACTTTCAGAAACATATGTGCTGCCTCTGTTGGGGTCCAGCAAATTAAACTATTAGGAATCAGCCATACTGTTTTGCATCAGCCTAGGAACTTTTTTTTCTTTCTTCTTGAGGTTTGTTTATTCACTAAATTATACAAATAAGAACAGGACCACAGATTGGCATATTGTGTTCTTTTTCATCATCTTATACTTTTGAAGAAGGTTGTAAGAAAGCTTGAAGAAAAAGAAAAGACCTTCAAGTTAGTAATTCAGAAACCCACAGTAACAAAAGATAGATAAGCAAAGGAATGTTTTGCATGTAAACTCATGTATACAGAAGTTACGTAAATCTTACCTTATATACTTGCCCATAAGTCCCATTGCCAACCAGTTCAACCAGTTCAAAGATACCTGCAGGATCCTGGGAAACAGAAAACATGAGATAATTAAAGTGAGTCAAAACCAGATGTTTAAACAGATCCAAACAATGTTTCACAAGAGCACTATTTCACACAGGTGGGGTTTTCCCTGATTTACTTTGGCTTCCTCCTAAAATGGACATCGCCTGTTTCATAGGATACTTTAAGTAGATGCTGCCCTTTTCCAATAGCTTTAGGTAAGGTACATGTGAAATTTTGGTTAGCAATGTAACTGAGATTCATTTCTGTAGAGTATCCTATTTAGCCATTGACTCTCACAACATTTAAGCTAAATATTCACAGACACACTTCAAAGTTTATCAAGTTCACAACAGGATCCCAGTCTCTTTTCCAGATGAAACTGCAATGTAAAGTTCAAAAACAAAGAAGTCTGTTTCCAGAACACTGTCTGGGGTCTCCATTTTGGCCCTGCTCATCTCAAATTGGCTAAGTTGGCTGGGTGATTTTAGGAGGGCAATTCTGTGGGAAAAAATATGATTGCCTTGGTAATGTGTAGAAGACAGGGCCAGCTAATAGCACAGCAACAATACCCAAACCAGTATCTTAAACACGGCTTTTCACACCAGTTTAGAGGGCGAAGAAGCTTTCTCAAGATGAGGATGGTTGAAACACTTTGGCATAAAGATCTTATGAGTCCCATCTGAAGATGGGCCAGGGCAAGGAAGACAAAAGCACATCATTGAAAATGGGCAATTAAACGAAATGTTTCTAGTACCTAAAAAGCATGTTTTTCCATTATAGCAGCAAGTTCCCATTTTCAGAGAGGGGGAGAGAGAAAATAGGTGCAAGGTAAATAATAAAAATAATAAAGCAGTTATTGTCAGGCTGCAGTTTATTTAGCTGCGTAAAGCAACATTTAGAAAACTTGTTTTTAAAAGGCCACTGCAGCCAACAAATATTTTCATGTATGTCCATCATTAAAACCAAGAGCCAGAGAATTGTTTGCCCTAAGCAACAGTTTTTGAAAGTTTTATTTTTTTAATGAATTAGGTAAAACAACCCAAAAGCAAAAACAAAGGAAAGGGAAAAGAATATATAAAATATGCTTTGCAATAAAATGAAGGTTGAAGTGAAAATATGATTATTATAAAAATAATAAAGGCAAAAGAAAAAGAAAAAAACATAAGAAAAAGCATTCTAGTACCCCCTCTTTTTTTCCCAAGCAACCAAGTTTTTGAAAATGAGGCTGAAAAAAGGATTGGCTTAAATGCCACCAGGATTCAGGATTTCTAATCACTTTATTTATAAAATATGGAACCGCAACAGGAGGCTGTTGCTAAGAGTCATTCTACATGGACTCTAATTTACAGCTGTAAGTGCCAAACTGAGCCAGTTTTGTTGACCCAGAGAGCTAACAAGAAGAACCAGCATTGGGAAATGGGAGAAAAACAGAAAAGATTTTTTATTTGTGCATTTGTGTGTGTCTATACACACACACACACACACACACACACACCTCCCTCCCTATCTACCTATCTACCTCAAAACCACAGGGCAGGCATTTACAAAACAGTCCATTCCAGAGACAGGGAATTCCAGAAGGTTCTATTTTCCTCCAAACCACACCAACCTGGCCATTCCAGGAATGATCCATCCATTTTTCAGAAGTAATGTTTTGCACATGCCTAGTATGGAGTTAAGCAATGGATTGGGAAGCTGGCTGGGGAATTTTGGGAGCTGAAGACCAGATGTCTTAAAGTTGCCAAGGCTGAGAAACACTGGTCTAGGCCTTCCCCAAATTGGCACCTTCCAGGTAGGTATCCCCAAATCACTGCCAGTAAGGCAGCCTGAATCTAACTGGGCGAGCGCTTTATTCACTGCCACATCCAACAGAAAGCTTGTGACACATCCCAGGCAGCTTCACACTTGGTAAGGAAATCAAATTACCCTTGTCAAAATCCAGCCTAGGCCTGGTTCACATAATTGTGATATCCAGAGTTTATGGATTAAACCACAGCCGAGTTCCATATCATAATGTGATTTGCGTTTTTTCCTGGCATAGCATGATGTGCAAAGCCAGCCATTTTGGTTTGTAAGCCATTGTGTTATATATGAACCCAGACTTGATCAACAAACCATGATTAAACAATCCATGCTTCATGGGCTGTATAAATCCAGCCAAAGAATAGCACTGATCACGTAACTCTCCAGGATCCTGCATTTCATCACTGTTCTGCACCACTGGTCTAGGACAGCGTTTCTCAACCTTGGCAACTTTAAGATTTGTAGATTTCAACTCCCAGAATTCCCCAGTCAACATCTTAAAGTTGCCAAGGTTGAGAAATACTGGTCTAGGATATCAGGAATAACAGAAATACATCATTTCCGGGTTTTTAGTGGTGGTGGTGGTGATCAAAATTCTGTATCAGCAGTAGCTTCTTGCGTACAAGCATTTGCTTTTTGACATGTCATTACAGCTGTCCATTTTACTTGGATCTGATGCACATTTAGAACCAGCAACCCAATATTTCATTCTGGAGCAAGCTACCTTTCATCCAACCATTGGTCCAACTAACCCAGCATTTTTGCTCGCTGACCTTTGGTTCTTAATTTACCTGGCAGGGGTGTATTAAGGATGCTCTCATTCCCAGGAATGGAACCAGAGTATACTCTGAATTTGAACAATTTCTCTCAGGGTTCCCCACTTTCTGCAAACTGAACATTGCTCTCATTCAACCATTCTGCATTGCATACTATCTCTTCTCAGTATCTCCTACTCCTGTTCCTCAACCACAGTGTCTGAGTAGGAGAGCAGCTTATGTCAATTCAGTGAATTGCATTTCTCTGTGCTGTTGGCACCAGCATCAGCAAAGCCATGGTAACTAGAAAAGAATGCTAGTTATTAACAAATCTGAAAAAGAAAAAGGGGGATGTGAGCTCGGTTTTCATTCAAGCCTAGCTCTTGAATCTGCTTCTACTAACCCAGCTTTTAATGGAAGAACAAAGATTTTTCAGAAACCTGGAAATTCTCCCCTATCCAGTATAAAAACAATACTGATAGCTTGTGCTTCAGATAAGTTTAGTAAAGGAGGAAGATATGGCTCTTCACACACCCTTTAATTCCACTCATTCACAGGATGCACCCAGTCATTTTTATGCTCCATATACACTCCATATTTGTGCACATTTTGATACAATGCAGATTAGAATCCTTTCTCCCACCACAGGCACTAAAAAGAGATGGAAGGAGAGAATCTTCTTAATCTATATTCTGATGGGGTATTAAACGAAAGGTAAAGGATATTGGAAGAAGCATTCTTCATTAAAGTGAACGGGTTACAATAAACTAGCCCCCCATAAAAGTAAAAGTAAGAACTCTTAATGGTTTACCAATGAATATAGCAATACTTCTACTTTGGAGAGATCCTCCAAAAACACACCCAATTAAACGGACGATGATGGAGGCTTTTGAATGATAAGACGCCAACTGGGTCTGATCACAGTTGTTGTGAGTGACTCAAAAGATGTCAGATACAAATTGCTTAATGTTACAAACTCAAATTACTAGGAAGGGAGGAAGAACAAAATTAGACACAGAAGAAAGCGAGAGGGAACTGGAATAACTTAAAAAATGCTTTCTGACATTTTGAAATCAAAACATGAGAAATCATTTAATGGAACCTTTAAATTATTCAGGATAAGCTTAAATGGGGATCTGATGCAAGATAAACACTGTATAATCTCAAGTCAAATATAATCACTTCTATAGATAATGAACCTTGGGACTTTTGCTGCTAATACAAATGCATTATGTTTCCATTTAACAAAATATTCCGTTCACCACCACCCATCCCTATAAATCTTGTCTGTCAGACACGCACTGGAGGGCCTGCTATTACTTTTTCTTTCTAAAACCTTTATTTATTTCTTCCTTTCCCAGAAGGCTTCAAGAGGTGAAATATGAAACAGCAATGGCACAGGACAGCACAAGCAGAAGCACACAACAGGCAATATTGGAAATGAAAAAGGTGAGTAGCCAGCCTCCGCATCATCAAATTGTTTGCAGTGACTCTCCTTGCACAGTTCTGCAGGTTTTTCAAAACTTCCACCTCTCATCTCCTGAACCTCCATTCTCACCTACAGAAAGCTAAGTATCTGCAATTTCTATGGAGACAAGGAGGCTTTTATATCCAGGTGTGTGTGCGTGTATTTTAACCTGCTGTATTTTTGTATAAATGGGTCCCTTATTTCATTATACTTGTCCTTACAAAGTCTTCATCTATAGGCAGTCCGCTTGTAAGTAGCAAGTGCAATCAGGTCTTCAATCCATTGAATAAATTAGGCCATACATTTACCTTCCCAATGCTGCAATATCAGTCTTTTGGCCATAGTAAGAGCATGGAGAATCCATTTATGTTGTCTGGTTGTCAAGTTCCATGTACTA